GTGAAAGAAGTTGTTTTTTTATCGAAACATTTGAAGTGAGTATTTGCGGCTGCCAGTGTGGCTTAAAGTGCCTATGGTCAAATCAATAAAGGCTGCATTATGAAACTATCTCGTAGATAAACAAACACAAGTCGGTATTGCAACAAATTTGGTTCACTCGTTCTTCCATTCATTCGAACTTTGAAAACAGATCTGAAGTCTGTATGCCCAAATACATTTTAGAACAGGTTCATGTTTATCAAAAAATGAACAGTTCCATAAATCACATACATAGTTGACTGCGCAGGAGTTTTTCTTAGATGGGTCCAAAGGCCGTGCCGTTTTTAGACCTATTCTAAAATCGTTCAAAATGAAGATAGGCAAATCCTTTTAACGGTATCCAATGCAGAATTTTCTCCTCTTTCCAGCGGCTTTGTTTTCGTGTCTATTTCGACGAGCGCTGAGTTTATTGCCGAAAACTAGAACCCCTCATTTTTACCATATCTAACTTTCGCTAATTTTCAGCATTTTTATTTTAGACTTTTGAAGGTGCTTCGATATCCACCTGATAAGGCAAGCATTTTTCAAACTGATGCAATTTTCTGCACTTTTACGGCTTCTTCTTGAGAATTTTGCTGAATCAATTTACTGGAGCTTGAATTTCGAAGAAGTCGCGTGACACATAATTGCACCAAACACTGCGAAATCCTCAAAATATTGAAGTTCCAAAACTTGGTTATTACTATCACTAGTACTACGAAGTAAATCAGCGATTACGACGTGAAAATGGATAGATTTTAGAATTTCGACCACAACCTCGCGCACCCGAAAAATGCGTAGGGAAGTACACCGTTTTTCTGCAAAATTCGCATGTTTCGCGAAGAAAAGGTAGCTGGTAGAAAGAGGAGAAGAAGATGCATCGAATGGTACATACAGGGTGTCCCAAAAGTAAGTACACACTTTTCAATCGTCAATATCTCTTTTCCCAATGGGTCTTTTTCCACCAGTTGAGTACCATCCTGTAGAGGAGGCTTCAACTTAGATTTACAGTTTTGATCGAATCACCGATCGCTTTGTGTTACTGTAGGATTACGGTAAGAACTCCCAGCATCTGGAACTATTGTGAAATATGCCATGTAACAAAATTTTTTTCAAAAAATCTGAAAAATTGCATACTACGGTTCACGCACGCTTATTCCACCATAGAACTTTTTGCGAGTGTTTTCGGCTTTTTTGACGGTGTAATCACATTTCTGACATACTGGGAACTCTGTTATTACGCTTTACCTGGGACAACTTTGGAAAGAAGCATCATAGTAAAGCGGAAATTTCATATTCGACAGCGGCTTCCATTACCATACTATAAGGGGTTTGGCTTGTTTGGTTTTGTTCCGAGGCAGAATATGGCTTCCAACGGCCTAAAATCCTTGTCGAAGTCCCTACAATAGTCCTACAGTAATGAAGATAGATCGGTAATTCGCTCGATACTGCGAATCTAAGTTAAACCCTCCTCTACAGAATGGTACTTGAATGGTGGAAAAAGTCTCAATGGGAAGAGAGATATAAACGATTGAAAAGTGTGTACTTACTTTTGGGACACCCTGTTTAATGTTTAAGGTCTGGTGTTTCGCGAGGTTAAAATGAGTCAAATATAAAATTTGGTCACTTCAGAAATTATATTGTAGCAATTCAGCATGCTGAAGGGATGCAAAAATTGCATCAATTTGCAAAAGCTTAGCCTTATCAGATGGTTATTAGGGCGCCTTCAAAAGTCTAAAATAAAAATTTTGAAAATTAGCGAAATTTAGATACTTAAAAATGAAGGGTTTTAGTTTTCGGCAATTATCTCAGCCCTCGTCAAGTAGTCACAATGAAAACATAGCTGCTGGAAAGAGGAAGAAATTCTGCATCGGATAATGTTAAGAGGATTTGCCTGTCTTTATTTTGAACGATTTTAGAATAGGTCTAAAAACGGCACGAACTTTCGGACCCACCTAATATTCCAATTAGCGGAAGAAAATTTCCTTTTTTGCAGATCTAAGAGCATTAGTCTTACCGCACCTTTTTTCTTAGATTTTTATTCTAATCTTTAACGCCGAATGGGATTCAGCTATATTTTCGCTAAGAAGTGCGTCATCGGAGCTACAAAAACCAACAAAAAATGATGATGGAACCTTGCATTCACTGTGGACGCTGAAATTCTGCGAAGTTCTGCTGTTATGCTCCCATTAGAGCTAGAAACAATTTTTGGCATGAACGAAACAATAGCATACCAACATATGTGAAATCATCGTTTGTTTTCCTTTTTCTTTGTGTAACGACTTTTTATAATTTTTGACATGGTATTTGTATCAGCATCTACAACTGAAGAGTGTTACGGAATGGTTTAGTGTTAGTAATCACCATATTCCTCAAATCCTCAATCGAGTCAAAAAATAAGGGTGTAATTTCTACATGGAAGCAACTGAGTGAGTCATAATGGCTCGCTATTACTGTTTGATGTTTGACTTTTTGAGGGTTCTTGAGTTATGAGGTTGGCGGATAATTTCTTGTACATTTTTATTTTTATTCATTGAAAATCTAAAGAACTTTCGAAAATGTTCAGGCGATATTGACGAGGTGCAAAGGTCCACACAAGATTCCCTGTGGTACTGTCAGATTCTGGTGTCCAGAACACCCACTTTATGTGGGGAGCGTTTTTATGAACATTTTTACCGCTGGCTGGCATTCTTCCAAATTATGAGGGGACCAATCGAGGTGACAATCGGGCAGGGTATGGTCCACAGTTTTAAGCGAATAAATGCGGGAGTTTCTGACATGTTAGCGGTACCAAAGTACTGCCATTAAAGACTCAGTGCGAAAATCTTATATATAAAGCTGAATGTCTGTTTGTCTGTCTGTATGTCTGTCTGTCTGTATGTCTGTCTGTCTGTCTGTACGTATGTTCCGAATAGAAAATTCCATTTCTGAACCGATCGGGACCAAACTTGGCACACATACACTTCGGGCCCCGGCGGGTGTCATAGGCTACTTTTCGTCATCGATCGATATTGATTTTATCGATTTTTTGCAAAATTTGAGCTACAGGGCTGGGAGTTGGCACAGGGGGGTAATCGAGCATGCTGATCACCCCCGTGGGGTGATCAGCATGCTCGATTACCCCCCCCCCCCCCTGCCAAATTCCAGCCCCCTAGTTTGGTCCGGATCGGTTAAGAAATGGAATTTTCTATTCGGAACATACGGCGGAGCCGGGTAAGCCAGCTAGTATTCTATAAAAATTAAGGAAAAAAACATAGTTACACGCAAAGAAAAAAATCGAAGAATAAGTGACAATTTCGAGTGTGCCGGCGAAGTTGTCGTTAATTTGCAAGCTATATGCACATTTGCAGCCTCAGCCACATACTTTTGTATACGCCCTGGCGTGCCTTACATATGGAGCAAATTTGAAGATTGTAGAGGGCTTCCGAGTTTTTCCAGAATTTTACTGAAAGAGTGTAATAGAAATATCCGCCAGCCTAGTATGTGTTCATTATTTTTATCATATTCATCGCTGTAGGTCGGGCAGATTTCTTGTCGTGGAAATTATTATCGTGATCATGATCTCTCCTGCGCTTACTTATATTATATGCTCTTACTCCCGGTCTTGTTGTATTATATGCTGACCCATTCTCTTTTAGTTTTGTTTTTTAAGATAAGGACTAATTTTCATTTGCAATTTTTAAAACATGTTTTTTGCTAAAGAGAAGATATTATTTGCAGTACACTTTTCCACATTCTTAGTCATAACTTTTCCACATTCTTAGTCATAACTTTTGGGCTTTGTTGGCATTTGATCGTCTCAGAAATGATCATCTCTCTTTTTATCTACATTAGTTTTTGTTGGAGAGAACTGCGTTATAACTTTCTTATTCAAGTATGTGTTTTTATTTTGTGACGAGTCTTTATAAAGAGACTGTAGTTGAATAAAATACTCACTTTCATCTTTCCTGGAGAAGATGGCTAGCTCCAGCACTTGAATTATAAAGTGTTAAATATAAATTTGGGTTAGCACCATCAACATAGTGTCATACAGACTAAAATACGGATCGTTTGGTAAAAATTTAGACGACCAAAATCACTCTATAACTGCGCAGAAGTTGGTCACAACTAGACCCAATCACTTCGAGGTAGAAATACACAAACGAGAAGTTTGAAATGTGCTCGCATGGTCTAGTGGATACAAACTTTGTTTCGAAATGTGGAGTACAAGGTTCAAATCGCAGCACAACGGCGATTTTTGTGCGCACCAGGTTAATAACAAGCTAAATAGCAACCGAAGAGGGCGTAGACCAGAGGTGCTGAAGTGGTTGAGTGGCTAGTGCTTTGGACCACCAGGATGGAATGGGGTGTTCAGTGCCCAATTAGAGCAAAGTTAGTTGATTTTATTCCGTAAAAATTGTGTTTTAGAAAGTGTAGGGACAGGAGGGGATTTTGGTTATTATGCATGGGAAAGTCTTTCGGGATTTGGATTTTTGGATTTTGCTTTGGGTTTTTGCTTGCTGTTCTTCTGGTGTCCCCTGGTTTCCCCGGGGTTCTCCTGCTTTTCCGTGGTTCCTCTGCCTCCTGCCCGCGGTGTGGCCTGCTTGCCCCGGGGGTTGCCTCTCGCCCTCTTTCTGCCATTGCCCCTTGGTGTCTCTCCTCGCCCCCTTTCCTGCCCTCCTGTACTCCTCTCCCACCACTCGCTTGGTTTTTCTTAATAACCTCTTTTCCTGCTTCGAATTTCCCACACTTTTGATTAGGGCGTAAAGTATGAAGAAAGCCACTTCCTAACATCAACATATTTACCATAAATTCCCTGCACTGATAAAAGCACGTGTACAACCTAGCCAGGATTCAAACTCACCATGTCTATCACTGTAATCCACTGACTTACCCATGAACTAGCCATCACATCGTTATTACCTTGAGGATCTCGTTGACCAATCTATTTGACTATTTATGTGCTAAAGATGATTTTTGCGATTTTTGAACAAAGATTCACAACTATTTGATAAATTTATTTACATGCATGATATCCCAAAACAGGATGAAATACGAACAATCATAAAACCTATTTTCACATTATGTAAAATTTGATAGAGTATACGGTTGTAAGAATGCTAAGTACAAAGAACGTCAGCAATACTAGAGATCTAAAATAATGTACTATTTTTCTATTAGCGTCGAGCGATAAACGTGTACCGGTAGTTATCGCTACTCCCAAAGCGATCTGTAAGGATGCGGTAGTTTGATTCAGTGAATGGTTACGTCATGATTGTTTTTTTTATAAGGGAAGAATGAATGGTGAACGTAGCCTCTTTGAAATATGTTGTCAGCAGAATGTCAGATTTGAACACTGCTCAAAATTATAAGGTTGGCCAAATAATGATTTTGTTTTGGCGTGGAAGTCTTCATAAAGACTTCAATAGTTGTTCTTCATTCATGATTTTTGTAGGTAAGTAGTGTAAAGCTTCTGCTGTCACATATCAACTATTCAGAATTTTTAATTTTCAGTGAGGGACGGTTATGCCTTAACATGGCTAAAATTACAAAAGCTCAAATCTGCGACTTTTTAACGTTTTCACGCTCTAATAAATGTAGAGAAAAAAATTTGGCATTTATATACAGACAAGTTTTCCCTACTTATTAAATACTAGCTGGCTTACCCGGCTCCGCCGTATGTTCCGAATAGAAAATTCCATTTCTTAACCGATTCGGACCAAACTTGGCACACATACACTTCGGGCCCCGGCGGGTGTCACAGTCCACTTTTCGTTATCGATCGATGTCAATTTATCGATTTTTTGCAAAATTTGGGCTAGGGGGCTGGAATTTGGCAGGGGGGTGTAATCGAGCATGCTGATCACCCCCACGGGGGCCCCCTAGCTCAAACTTTGCAAAAAAATCGATAAAATCGATGAAAGTAATGCACGATTTTAAAAACTAATGTTGTATTCGTAATCCCCATGCTCACTTACCCCCCTGTGCCAACTCCCAGCCCCGTAGCTCAAATTTTGCAAAAAATCGATAAAATCGATATCGATCGATGACGAAAAGTAGCCTATGACACCCGCCGGAGCCCGTAGTGTATGTGTGCCAAGTTTGGTCCGGATCGGTTCAGAAATGGAATTTTCTATTCGGAACATACGTACAGACAGACAGACAGACAGACAGACAGACATACAGACAGACAGACAGACATACATACAAACAGACATTCAGCTTTATATATAAGATCAGTGAAAATTCTGATCTGCCATTTCCAAATTCTTTGACCGAAAAACCAAAATTTTCTCATATTTGCGCAGAAAAAAGCAATTACGACCTCTCACTTCTTTGTGGATTTCTTTCACTGCAAAATGGATTCCACTCAAAAGGCTTCATGTTCCAATTCTCAAAAGAGTGCTCTTTCCAGAGATGCCGAATACTGAACAAAAATTGTCTGCAGCATATGCAGGAGTCGCAAAAGCGACCGAAATTATTTATTAGTCAATCTAATATATTAGGTGGGTTCGAAAGTTTTGTCGGTTTTCTACAATCTCGGGGCAAACACGCTGGAATGAAGATAAGCAAACGCTTCAAAATGTATCCAATGCAGAATTTCTTCGTCTTTCCAGATGCTAAACTCTCATTGTGTTTTGTTGAGAGAATGACGAGATATTTGCCGAAAATTACAACCACTCGTTTTTACCATGTCCAACTTTCACTAATTTTCAAAATTTTTGTATGAGATTTTCGGAGGGGCCCTAATAACCACCAGATAGGACAAACCTTTTGCCAACCTATGCAATTTTTTCTTCTTTTCAACTGCTTTTTCAGATTTTTGCTAAATAATTTTCTAAAAGTCTTGTGTTTTGGCAAAATAGCATGGCCTGTTATTGCACCAAACACTGCAAAACCTATAGAAAACTGAGGTTTCAACACATGATTATTACTAACGCTACCGTTACAAAGTAAATGAGCGATTTTCGCTTCAAATTATGAAGATTTTAAAACATAGGTTACGTCAGTACGCACTCCTAAAGTTGAGAAATACTGCGATTTTTCCCACGATTTTGCCTCTCTCGGCAAAGAAAGACAAGTATTAGAAAGAGGAGAAAATTCTGCATCGAATGGTGACTGAAATATTCAACGTTTTATGTTCTACGAGCTAAAATAGGCTGATTGTAAAATTTGGTCACTTCAAAAAATAAATCGTAGAAATTCTGAAAGACGCCGTAGGACTACAAAAAATTCCTTCTGTTGGCAAAAGGTTTCCCCCATCCACTGGTTATTAGGGCTCCTCCGAAAGTCTCATAAAAAATTTTTAAAAATTAGCGATAGTTGGACGTGGTGAAAACGAGTAGTCCTAATTTCCAGCAAATATCTCGTCATTCTCGCAACGAAACACAACGATAGTTTAGCTGCTGTAAAGAGGAAGAAATTCTGCATCGGATACATTTTGAAGCGTTTGTTTATCTTCATTCTAGCGTGCTTGCCGATGGATTGAAAAAACCGACAAAACTTTCGGACCCACCTAATATTTGATATCTGCGGAACGCTTTCCTGAGATGATATAGTGCTTGCGAAAACAAACGCAATGGTTTTCGCACTGACGGGATCAAACGGCAGTTTTGCAGATAACAAACACAGTTTTGAGATTAGCGATCCAATAGATTTATCA